TTGGTTCTTTGCTAAAACGTTTGGATCAATAAAGTTAGGGGATGAGAATTGATAAGAATTTTGCAATTCTGATTCCATTATTAATATCACTTATAAATTCGTTTCCTTATCGATTCCTTTATCCATTCTCTTTGGCTCCACTTTGTGAGTCACCACCATCTCTAAGCAGCATATCAAAGACACTGCAGTCACCCAAAATTATTACATGCTCAGATGTCAAATGTGTGTGCATGTTGCAGGTGTTTCCTCTCATTGTTTTGATCAGTGTTAGGGTCAATACTCAGTCATTCTTGCTCATATTACACAGAACCCTTTTATTTTAAAAGTAATGCAGTACGTTACTTAATTACACCCAGGAGAAAGACATTTGTTATACTACTCGTTACGTTACTGTCATGTTAGTCTGTAAAATAATCTGCAACACACTATCATAATTAGCAATACAAACCTGAGGCTACAGCCCGACACACTAACACAAATCCCTATCCTAATGAGGACAGCACAAAGCAAAGATGAAAACCTTAAAGGTTTTCACAAAGAGACCTTAAAGTGATTCTACTTTAGAAACATGAACCAGTAAAAACGGAGGCTGCAAGTTGTGTGGGCTGGGGTCAGCATTTACTTTAACATCACTCGGGGTTCTTGTTAGCTTAGTGTTAGCATGCTGCCGAAGTTTTGTTAACGGTATAATGCAGTTGTTTCTGTCCTGAAGTGGTCTCCACTTTACCATCACGCTCTCATCCTTGAGAACTGGTTCTCGATTCACATCCCTAAATAAAGTTATTCAGTACTTAATTTAATGCAGCAGAGTTCTGGTCCTTTCTTTGAAGCTTCACATCCTGTGTAGCTGGATGGGCAGGGCCTTTGACATGAATGTGGAGTTGATAGTTGATCAATAGATATTTAAAGTGGAAATATGAAATTTGCTAATCTAAATAAAACATTTTCCGTTTTTGTTCTGTTTTTGTCTATATTTGTTTGGGAGTTTGTAAAGAGGAGTGGCTTTGTGTTCAGTAACAGAAGTAGACACATGTTAATGTGAGAAAGGTCACACAGCTGACAGTTTGTTTTTTAAACATTTTCAGATTTCTTTTTCTCCAAATAATAATAGGAAAAACTATCCATCCATCCACTTCCACTTATTTAATTAATGGTCACAAGAGGCTGAAACCTTTCCCAGCAATAGGGCAGTGTATCCCTGGACAGATCACAACAAGACCCATTCACACCTATGGGCAATTTAGAATTACCAGTTCACCCTCTAACTGGATATCTTTGGACTATTTAAGGATGCTAGAGCCGGCTGTGATCCTTTCTGGTTTTTTATTATTATTGTCCGCAATCACGGGTTTATGCATCCAGTGGGACCTTGCTGTGGCTGATGCTGTTAACCTGACAAGCAAGAATTCTTCTCTTTGCTGTCGTAGGGATTTGGCTCAGCAATCTACATCTGCATCAAGTATCCTTCACAAATATAATTAAAACAATCCCAAAAGTTCATTCGTTTTAAGTGGGAGAAACGTTTTGTCACATGTCCAAGTGACTTCAGTCTTAGCTGACTGCTGGTTTCCCCAGCCTTATAAATATCACATTGAAATATTACATAATGAGCAAAACTAGCACCACTGATTAACAATGGGCCATGGGGTCAGTTTAATGATCATTAATATGCAAATGTTCTTGATTATAAATAAATGGCTGCAAGTACCATACACAGAGAGTTGGGAAATGGTTGCAATCAAAGCATTGTAAAATAGTGAAAGATGTACCCTTAGGCCTTCTCTCCTGGATCACCTGGAGCATTCTTTAGGCGCCTTCCCATCTTTGACAAATGTCCAGCTAGGATAACCACATTTACTCAGGGCTTCTTGATATGAAGTTCTTCTGCTTCCCTAGCTTTCTCTGTGGGGATGGTGTTCTCTGTGTTGTAGCGTCCTGATGACACTCAATTGGCCCACGTTTAACCAGTGGTGCTAGTTTTGGTCGTTATGCAAATTTAATCTTTATGAGTTTGGCATAGAAATAAAGAATTCTGTCTTTAAAGAATGAATTGTAGAATACATTCTGCATTTGTAATTCATTTTTGAATTCCAATTTAATAAACAGATTTTTAAAATGCTTTTTAAATTACCAATTTAAATTACTTTTTTTTCGCTTCACTCTGCACGTGAGCCTTGTGCTTTGCGCTGCATGGGCAGAAGGGGGAGGGGCGGTAGTTACAATCGCAATAGCACAGGAACAGAGCAGGAGGGAGGGAGAGAGAGAAAGAGAGCCAGGGACAACAACGTCACATTAGAAAGGTATAGTAATCATCCACAACTATTTTCAGTTGAAGATGATAAAGGATTCAGAAAGTTCATTCATGCAGGCCCATATGACCGAGAATGTGCATCTTCCTTTTGTTTTCATATTTTAATTTATTTATTGTGTTGTGTCTTGCAGTGTTTTGTGTTGTTTTCACTTTAAATTTGTAAAAGGAAAAAGCTGAAAATTTAAATAGTTAAAAGTTGAAATGTGAATAGTTGGTTTTTGTATTATATGATTTATTTATTACATTTTATGTGGAGTGAATAAATAAAAGTATATTTGCGGTGGCCCCTACAGACAAAGCACATACAAACTCCGAAGCACGTACAAACTCCAAAACACGTAAAAACTCAAAACACGTACAAAACAAAACAGAAGTGCTCCAGGATGCTGGGCGCAGTGTTGAACTTTTGTTACCTAGTGGCTACACAAGCCAGCAAGTACCAACGACCGGATTTGGTGTGTGGTAGTAACAGGTAAATGAACTTTTTTTTTTTTTATTATTATTTGACTATATATGAATGCTTGTGTATAAATACACAAACAATACACATATGCTTTCAATTGTGTACTTTAAGTGATCTAGGTAGCTGTTTTGGAAGTTCAGTTCATGCTAGAAATGTGTTTTGGAGTTTGTACGCGTTTTGTCTCTGGGGGCCACCGCATATATTTATATATAAACATATATAAATAAAACCACTTTCTTTTTTACAATAGTAATTCCTTTTGTGCATAATTTTATATTATTGTTAATAATAAATTAATTAAAGCAACAAAACAACCTGAAAAGCCGGTTCGGAGCCAAAAGAGCCGGGAAACAGGAAAGGGAAATGGATTTTGAAATGCAGTTTATTAAAGTGCAATTCGAAAATGTTAAAAGGCATTTTAAAAATCAGTTTATTAAATTGGAATTCAAAAATGAATTTACAAATGCAGATTTTGTTCTACAATTCATTATTTAAACACAGAATCATTTATTTCGATGCGCGTGGCTCTTGTGGTCCTCCATACCACACAAAAACACAGCTCTAATAAAACTACTAAAGATGGATCACATTTCACCACAAACTACGGGAACTCTACTTTCAAGACATTTGATCTTTGAAGTCTAAAACAACTTAAAAGATCAAATATCTTCTCTTTCACTAAAAGCCATATTCTGGCCACCTACGGAGGTTTTGCTTTATTCTCTCTCTCATTTGATGCCACAATGGTTTCCATCACTCAGTGGTACTTTTAGAAAGAGATGCTGGGTACACAAGCACTACCAGTCCAGTGCTTAGAGGGCGAGGCATCAGAATTTGGTTTCTGGATGGTCTACGGTTTGCAGAACGACAGACACGCTGATGGTCTTGCATGTGATGCTTCCGAGTAAACGTTTTGTGACAGAAGCCACAGCTGAAACTTTTCTCACCAGTGTGGATCTTCATGTGAGTCTTCAAGTTTGTTTTACGACTGAATGTTTTATTGCACTCTGGGCAGCTGTAGGGTTTCTCTCCTGTGTGAATGCTCAGGTGCTGTTTCAAACTGCCACTGTGTGTGAAGGTTTTACTACAAAACGGGCAACTGAATGGTTTCTCGCCCGTGTGAGTCCTCAAGTGGTTCATTAGAGTAGTCTTGTCTTTAAAACCTCGGCCACACTCAGAACAGCTAAACGGTTTCTTCTCTGTGTGAATCCCCACGTGTCTGTGCAGGTTTCCACTGTCAACAAATCTTTTCCCACACTGAGAGCAGGTGAAGGGTTTCTCTCCAGTGTGTGTTCTCAGGTGCCTGTTAAGATTTCTGCGATGACCAAATTTTCTCCCACACACAAAGCAGTTGAATGGTTTCTCATCATTGTCACATTGCATCTGAGGCAGTGCAGGTTCACAGGGCTGCTCACAGTCGGCATCACTGACATCTGTGTCTGAAGTCTTCTCATCAGGCTGCAGATATGAATCAGGATCTGGCCAACCGACAGAATCTTTAATGTCTTCAGTCTGGCTGTGATGAGGCTGTAAAGATCCAGGTTTTTCTTCATCCTCTTCACTCTTAACAGGGAGAGCACTAAAGGTGAACTGGGTGATATTGACTTCCTCCTGCTCCTCTTTAATGCTTGGGTCCTCGTGGTCCAGACTGGAGCTCCACTCTTGCCCCTCTTCTTCACCAACAATCACTTTTCGGATGCCTGGAGGTAAACCTGAAACACAGATATTGATATTGAGTAGGGCTGGGCCATATTATACCGTTCACGGTAATACCGGTATAATGTTAGGCAACGATAGGAAAATGAAATATCGCGATAGAATGAGTAAAACGCGCATGCGCAGTGCCTTTGTTTTCATACGCACATGGCCGATTGTTGAGTGAAACAGATGAACCAGAATTGGTTTGTAAAAATGGTGCAACTTCAGTGATGTGGAACTGGTTTTGTGTTTGTCCGTCAGATACACGACAAAGCACATTTTTTTGCAAACATGCAAGCGGCCGTCGTTATTGTCGTATTTGTCGGACTAAGATGCTCTTAAATCTGGGAGTAATCTGGGTCCTAAACTCCGTATCGTTCAGGTCAAACGAACACTGCAGCATCACTGAGCGTTAAAAACTGTCTAAATTCTTTCATCTTTAATAAAACGATCAGCATTGCTGCTTAACCAGGTGAAACTATGGAGTTTAACTTCCAGGCATCCATGAAAACAAAATGTATTACATTTAACGGAGTTAGAAGTTAGCAGGAAGCTAGCGGAAGTTAGCTCGCTAGTTTCGCTAGTTACCTAAGCATGATATTGCATGTTCTGACTGAGAGATTTCTGAAAAAATTCAAACGTACAGCTCTGCTATCACTTCCAACATAAATGAAGACAGGAAACTAAACAGCAGTGACGTTTGTAGGGTTACTGAAGTTGGGCTAGCTGGTATATAATGATGTGCTATGTGATCGCTAGCGACACAGCTATGTTAGCATAACATAAACAGTGAAGCTGGAGGACGAACACTAACACTTTTCCACTTATAAAAGTTAACGTTAAAGTTCCTGATAGTTAGAGACAAATGCAATCGCATGGCAGGATGCTGTAAACGGACCAAACTTCAGTCAGGAGAACAACTGAGATAATCCATCCACAATACAAGGTCATTAATATACTGCAACAACATGGGAATAGAGCAGAATTCATTAATTAATAAATCAATGGTACAGAAGTGGAGGAAGCAAGAAGAATGAGTTTAATAAAGTTTGATTTATCTGACTGCTTTGTTTCGCTTAATGTGCCTTATAATCCCGTGCACCTTATGGTCCGAAAAATACGTACTGCACACTGCAGTTTAATGTTGCAAAGCACCTCTTTTTAACTTCAGTGGATATTATACATGGTTATGCTCAGGATATGTCAGCCCATTTCTACTGGAAATGCCTTTTGGTTAAACTTTCAGCAAGGAATTTGCATTTGCACTGTTACATTTTTATAAAGCTTTAATGTACATAAAACCAGCTTCTTGTTTAAGTGAAAATAAATGGAAGGTTGTCTTTTTGCGCTAGTAATGTCGTGGAGTTGTATTTTGTCTCGCATCAATTATATCGTCAGTTATATCGTTATCGCAAATTTTCAAATATATATCGTGATAAATATTTTTGGCCATATCGCCCTGCTCTAATATTGAGCTTGCGTTATCTTTAAACTACAAGTATTTTTATACATTGACAGTTTATTGGAGTTTGACTCTTTAGTTAGAAATAAAGAGATGATTGCTTTACATACTAACAGCATATGAAATTGACTTGAAAAGGTTTCACATCATGAGATTTCATAAGCATACATTACACAAGGCTAATATGTCAAAGGAGTTAAAGAAGAAGAACAATCATCTGGTTTGGTCAAGAGAAGCAGACGGTTACACAAAACTGTACCAACAGGATAACATCCACACCAGGTGAGCAGCAGAAGACCAACACATAGCCTAAGCTAAAACTAGAGTTTACTGTCAAACACAGCAATAACGCTGATCATGTTGCAGCTACACCACAAACTGAAAAAAAGATTGTCATTAAATTGAAATTGTATTTTATTTTGAAAATGAATTAATTTTCTTTGAAACTGTATTTTATCCTTTAAAAAGTAGCTCTCGAATAATTTCAGTTTCACTTCTCACTATTATGTTTCAGTTCCAAAATTCAGTTTTTTGGGACTTAATCTGGTTCCGGTTAATAGAACTCCATTTTACCAGCTTGTTACTGACGGGAATCTACAGCATCTTGAGCTGGATTAAGACCTCAGAAGTCATTCGTCATGTTGATTGACCTGCAGATAAACTCTCAGGTTGATAATAAATGTATTACATGTATAAGAACATGTTAACAAATGATAGCCGTACAGCAACTTTTATGCTTATTGTAGCTGTTAGCTAAAAATGCTAATTTAGCGTAGTTTGCCCTGGGTTCAGCTTTGACAAACAAATATGATTCCAAAATTGTCATCTTGTACCTTCTAAGAGTCCTGTATGCTTGAGGGAACCGCTACAGTAGGGAAACATGCAAAAGAATGTCCAAACCATTGTATTTTAGGTTTATTCATGTATTACACAGCATCCCAACTCTCTAGCTAACCTAATAACTACACTAATCCGGATAAATTTGAAAACGTTTCAATTGTTTTAATCCATATTGAAAATGCTACATTCCTGTACTGCGCATGCGTGAAACGTAAGACAATTTGACCTGCATCATTTCCGTCTGCTGTTTATTTACTTTCCGGTAAGATGTCGAGGAAAAATACTTTATCCGGAGCTTTCTGGAGCATGTACAAATTGATATTAATCTAATAGGGCTGTCCAAATTGAGAGCAAACAAAACAACTGCTGTAAAATGCCGTCCGCCATCTTAGTTGAATTGGTCACATGACTGCATCATATGACAAAAATACATCATCATATTCGAAAGACTCCGTTTTTGCAGTCCACACTGTGACGCGAAAACAGCATTTTCAAATTTATCCACTTTGGAGAGCATTTTCAAAAACCTCAGCTTTCCTTGACCAAAAACGCCATCTCATTGTTGACGGAAAGCCAAAACAGAGAGAAAAAGATGCATTTTTAAACGAAAACCTATTAGTGCGGAAATGGCTTGAGGCAGTTCACCAACTCCTTGGCGGCAGAGCCTCTGGGGTGGATGAGGTCCGCCCTGAGGGGGTGGTACCTGTGGATTAGCAGACCGAGGTGGTGGTGGTGGTGCCCATCCACATTCTCATGCTTTTCAGCCTCTTTATTCTTATGCTTGCTGTTTCACAAACAAACGGCTGCAGCTTTGCAGCTTGCAGCCACACACACACACACACACACACACACACACACACACACACAGCAGCAACAATGACAGGGCCCAATACAGACTTTAAGCTCGTGAGACATGATTGCGGCTGCCATGCAGGTGCATCTGGCTTCCCTGCAGCAGCACCGCAGATCACTCCCCACCACATATTCCATTGCCCAACTGAGCCCCCCCCATTTGAGTTTACTCCAAAGATTTTTGTTGTGCTTTTCTTTCTATTCTGACTTCTCTGTTATGGAAAAATATTGTTTGGCTTTTTTTTTGGATTACCCTGCAAATAGGACAAACAAATTTTATTTGATTAATTTACTAATCTTACTGGCTAAATTTCGTATACATAAATCCACTTTTTCTAATGCAAAACTGTTTTTTCAATGATTTATAAATGAAACCAGACAATATTTTAAAAATGTACAGCATTCTCATAATATCAAAGCAATTAAAACTATAAACTTATGCTCCTCGTGGAGCTCATCGTGGACTACAGGAGGAATGCTGACCCACATCCACCCATCCACATTAAGGGGACGGCTGTGGAGCGTGTGAGCAGCTTCAAGTTCCTGGGAGTCCACATCTCCGAGGATCTCA